GGCGGGAGCCAGCGGCCATCGGATCATTATTCATAGAAGCTTCAACCACTATGATTGGCTCGGGGGTCAGTGACCATGTCTACAAACATGTAACAATTACTGGGGTGTCGCTGAAAGGGTTCCACGACGTCCGATCGATCCACCCTGTATTACAGTTATCATGGCCGTCGTTACCGTGTCAAATTAACTGGAAATATAGCACAGAAAGTAGCAAATATCGTCGACCAACATTTTTGTCTATTTTTAGTCCAACGAGTGTCGTTTCTCTTCGTCGTAATCGATAATGCAAGATGAACATTTTCCACGCCATTATATATGTATCTTCGGCACCGTAGTTCAGTTTTCACCTGTCTTTTTATGCAATCATTCCGTTGCTTTCAATTACAGAAAACTAAAAATATAGACGTTTTGAGAGTAAAAACAACCAATATGACGTTAAGTTGGACTTGTCAAGTTGATAATTGTAGACAGTGAAAATTAGTACCTATTTACAGCCATTACGCCTTGACATAATTGTTCGAGAACTGTCTGTTTCGTTGTATACAACGCGTAGACAGGCATAAAAGAAATTCTCACGATAACAACCATGTTTTACTATATTTTACTTATGAATCGTCAAAGCCGTCATTACCGATCGATCACACTTTTCTTGACGACGAGTATGAAGAAATGTACCTAATATAAGTATAATGACGACAAGAAACTGGTATTTAAATACGCAGAATCATTTATGAGGCAATTAACGTAACATTATCCTCGGCATTACCAAACGAGTTCAGCGGTGTTGTTTAGTTTATTAGCATTACCCAATCGATGTAGGTTCGTCAACATCGAATTTCATCTTCGCGACACACTGATTAAGGGGACTGTCAAACGTAAACGTCGAACGTAAACATCCACAATAATCAACCTCAGCCCCACTGGCTGATCAATTTATGTAAGATCGTCACGCGAATGGCAAGGAAGCAAGGCAAACTAGTGGATCACGATCTGTATTAGCCGTCAAGTAATTAATCGAGTTGAAGAACTTCTGGCCTTTAAATTCGTAACGCTATCTCATTATCGACGCCCCGAGAACGAGTGATAAAGCTAAAGATTATCGCTAACGAATGTACATCATTCAAATTACATTCTGTCATCGAATAAATCTTACTTGATTCTTTTTCATTCTAATAACTATTATTTTTCTACTATCAGTAACCTACTTTCAGAGTAAACGTAGACGCACATAGAATTCTTTTCTTTTCCCATAGAATTATTAACGACACAGTACATATACAATGATAATACAATAGTACAGCTGCAATCCAGTTGTTACGAGTACAATCGCAAAATAAATGATCGAGCAAGTGGTTAATTAAACATTCCATCGAATCAACATCGATTTTTCATCGATCGCATCCATCGTTCTCTTCAACGCCTGTTTCAATCGATCCTCTCTCTGATTTTCCTCTTCATCAGACCCCTCATCCCCAAAATATTTAATCACAATCAATTCGCGAAGGATCTTCCCTTCCCCTTAACACCTGTTCCGATCGATCGTCTCTTTCTTTCCTACCACAGTTACGCAACCACGTTTCAGCACATTTCTCCAGCATTAGACCGGCTGGATCTTCCTAAGGAAAATCGCCGTTGCAATTAAGCGGACAGATAACCGTGAGCCGGTCCTGAGCTCGTGTGGTAACTCCGGGAAGTCGGAGTGAATCGCGCGAGCTTTCTACTCCGGTTGACGTCAGCTTGTAACGAGGGGCTCCGAGTCATTAACGCTTTAATGACGGAGATTGCTCACGAGATGTTTTCCTTCGATCAGCCCCGACGACGAGCGATTATCGATCGAAAATGGAATTCCAATTGCCGGAATCCTCGCGTGTAATCTATTAATTCGGTGGAACGATCATTCTCGAGACCCACGACGACGGTAATGATGATGAGGACGATGATGATGATGACGACGACGACAACGACGATAATGACGAATAAAATCTACGAATCATTTTTACCCCATTAGACGGATCCTCGAAATCGGTCGTCACTGGCTCGAAAGAATGCATCGTGGGTGCCAAATGTCTCGGCTCGTCGATGCGTGCGATGGAAAAGGTCGATGGGAACATTAAAATATTATGCTGCAAGAGAGAAACAAAAAGGGTGGACGAGGAACAATTCGACGAGCGAGTGGAAACAACGCCAACGCCGCGCTTTATCGTCGCGCCGGGACCCTGAAGCCACCGGTAAATCTAGTTTTTCCGGATATTCGAGACCGTGCACGGGCGCGGTTCTCTCTTTTTCCAGGTCCCCGCGCGTGAATAATCGTTATTCCTGAATGAACGCCGCGAAAAAAGGAGAGGCTCCACTGGATGGTTTAATAATATCGATGGGAAGGAAATTGAATGGGTCTGGCGATCGGTGTGGATCGTAAATCAGACGATCGCCACGAAGACACTTTTTCCTCTCGCTCGTCTAGAAATAATAAGAGGATTGTTCTCTTGTTAGGTTCGAGTTCCGAAGCAATCGCGCGACGATATTGTTGTGGAAAATGAATAACAGAAGGATTGTTCTCTCGGCGGGTTCCATTCGTGCAACGGTCTTGTCATAGAAGAGATTTTATCGGTCGCTCAAGGAGGACTTCTCCACATTCGTCGTGAAGATGCATTAAAACGCAATGAACGCGTGGCAAAAAATTGTGCATCCGAGCTCCCGATACAATGTAAAGACTTCGGCCTGCGATTTTATGACAATCCTCTCTGCGCGGAACTCCCTGGAGACATTCTTTCGAAGCGTCGTAAAGAAGCTTGAATCCACCGATGAGAAACCTTCCCCTTTCAGCCTGTTCCCCGTTGCAAGAGCCTCGAATCAACAATCAATTTCATACGCGCATATCCAAACAAAACGAGCTATGCTCACAAAAGCGTCCACCTTCCAAAGCGCAATCGGTTACTGAAACCCAACGGGAGCCGATCGAAAGGGAAACCACGATCCACCAGGACGATCCATCAAAAAGGGGACAACGACGGTCTTAGGGGATGACGCGAGGCCGCGCGACGCCGCCGTCGCCGCTAGGCGTTCCCGTTTTCCCCCGGAAATCCTCTGCGCCGCTTGAATCGAGTAGCCGGAGCCGCGTAGCCGTGGAACACGTCGCGTCGGCAGAACAGTAGCCGAAGATACGGACAAGATAGCTGGCCAGTCGGTAATTAGCGGGCGCTGATTGGTCACCTTCTTCCTCGGCACGGAGCCGGCCCGGTCGGGGATGAAGGAAGCGTATGAACGTGTCGCGTGGGCACCGTGGTGGGGGCTTATTTACTCGGTGTTCAAAGCATGCCGGGTTGGCCGATCGTCGACGGATCGAGGAACGCCAGTCCGCGGCTGACACTCGTTGAGATCGCGTGACCCGTTTTTCCGAATGGTGCGACTGCCACACGCCTCGGTGTTCGCCATCGACGAGGGCCGCTCGTGGTAACCTGTGCTGATCAGTGCTAGAGAGGACACTTCGCCGGCCGCTTCCCCTGTTGTGTTGAATTTCTCACCCCCCGTCTCGAGCCGATTCGCGCGAGAGACCTCGCCGCGGCCGGGAACACGGTAGAACATCCGATCGAGTGCGACGTGTTCCGAACAGAGACACCGTGTGCGAGCGCGGACACGTGGATCATCGGACCACTGACATGGAATTGTCGTTCGGCGGACCGCGCCGGGACAACGGACAAAGTGAAAGCGCGCCGATCGATAGATTCTGATCGGCTCTCGCGGTGATCGGTGCGCGGCCGCGCACCCGCGCGCACGCGACAATCGCTCCCGTTTTAGAGACACCCGGGAGAGATCGCTGCGGGGCCCTACTGGTCCTCGGAGATCTAATGGCACCCGACCTTGAGAAGAAGCGGCAGGAACTCAGGAGGACCAGCAGCGGCACGTTGGAACCGGCGCATGACCACTTTCACATGTTGCTGCAGCTACGGTGCAACGGAAGCGCACTGACCGAGCCGTACCGACACGGTAAATCTTGATCCACGATCGATTCGGTCGATCGCTCGCCGACCGGACCGCGAGATTTAGGTGTACGATTGTTTTAGTGTTGGACGTTCATGCGTTCTTGTGGTCTATGAACGGTTCTGAGATTCGCCGGTTTTGTTGAATGCCATGTTGTTTGTTTTGATTGTAGTTCGTTGGTTGGGGACGAGGTATTCTGATGTCAGTCTTCTTGAGTTTCGTTTGTAGGGATGTGTAATGAGTTCGATCGTAATTTTTAGTTGTTGTTTCGGATATTTATATTCGTTCGGAAATCGGTGGTTTAATTGTTACTGTGTTATTATTCGGCTGTTTACTTTGATCTCTCTGCGTTACTTCGAATGTTTTATTCTTTCCATTGACTTTCAATCTTGTTCGATAAACCGCGGACTATATACGTATACAACTGTTTGAATGCTTTGTTTGCACACTGACAGACTCGCCAATACTGTAAACACAGTTTGATTTAATTTTAACTTCTCTAAGTTGCTGTACGAGTCTGCAGCTTTGCGGCAATACTCGCGGTTCACTGATGACGTTTCGAAGAATATCTCGGAACGTCATAAATCAAGATGATCTAAATCACATTACCTTTCCCCAGTAACTGCACGATCAGATTCTTCTCGCAGAAATCTCCTTCCTCGCGTTTGATATATTGCTGTCGCCGGTATATGTTGCTCGATTAATGTTTAACCGGTTCAATATGACATCCCCGCAATCTCGAGCAGCATTATTGAATTCGGATCACTCCGGTTTTCAGTGTCTTCGCACTAACATGAGTGTATACACTTTTTAAGAGACCACGAAACTGTTGGCGAGGTTTTCGATTTGATTCGACGATTAATAAACTTGTACGGAAAGATCTACGAGCACTTGCGCCGCGTGATCGGACGAGGTTAGATAAGGATCTAGATAGAAAGTGAGACGTTATTTGATTTTAAATTAGTCGATTATTTGTATGTTATTCCGTGACGGTTTGCGATTAGTTATTCAAAGAACATTTCGTACACTCGTGTTCGGTATACCAGTGATACAACATTCAATTCGATTTAGGGACGGATGAAAGATTCGTCCATTTACATACGCAATCCATTTTATCTTAAATTCCCTTCGTACATTCCATTCCATAAGGAGATTGTATCATTTTCTCTTATTCTAACAATCTGCCTGATACTTGAGACACAAGTAAATACATAAAACAAAGTCCACTTTAACAAAATATAATTCTGCCTACCTAACTGAAGATTATCTTCGTTATCAAAATCATACATTAACACTAAAACCACTGGACGGTTCAAATCGGTCCATTCAAAAATTTTCATTTCTCTACTACTTGAATTACAAAGATGTCACGAAATATTGTAAACTGAATGCACACACTCGTACAAATACAACGATAACGGATCCTCCAAATCCCGAAAAATGTATTGTTCTAATTTTCGCACAAAATTAGAAACAAGCCACTCCAATCGCTCGGTAGTTAGTGCTGAAATCGAAAGCTAACCGGAGTCTCGGGATTTCTATTAATTTCATGCGTTCCAACCTAAACGAGGTGTCGTCGATCTCCATTAATCATCGGTCGCGAAAGAGGAAGTCGGCGCTTTGCACTCGGAAGCTTTTTCCGCCAGACATATTCATTGTTTTCTAATGAAACATTAATGGCGCTCTTCTCAACCAACATGAATACGTACAATGTACGAACGAAGGGATAGAATTATTCTATCTAAAAATTTCATTTCTAATCGCATCACACGAATATTTCCATCGAATATCGAACGTTGTAATTTCACTGAATCGAACCAGATGACGACTACGAGTCGCCTGTCGACCGCAAAGGGTTAATACCGGTGAAAAGTTGCCGCCGCGCATTTCTTTTCGTCGCCGGCACGATTATTTCTCGTCTTCGACGCTCTCGAAGTTCGCGTCACATGTAACGCCGATCGATCACGCGCGCCTTCGTCCACTATAAGATTCCGAAGGTGGTCGATTCATTTCCACGTTATTTTTCCATCGCTATCTCCCGGTTCGATATTATTGTTAGAAATATCCTCGCGTGTTGCACCGTCTAACGCCCGGGAAATTGATGCACTCGTTTCGCGATAACCTTCGCGGGACACGTCACTGTACGCTTCGCTCCTTCTCCCTCGCCCCTTTCTCGCCGCCGTGACAATAAATCACGAGTTCCCTCTAGACGTCCGGCGCATTTTTCTGCATTCTATCTGCGAAACTCCTTTGTGATTCATTAGAGACCCGTCAGGACTGAGATTCACGTCCTATCGGGGCTTGATATCTTTGTTGCCGGTCGTCGAAAACCGACGACCATTTTCATGGGCTTCGAATACGACGCTTCGGAGGCGTGTTTGTCTGTCGGAAATCGTCTGTAGGAATTAATGGTTAACGATTAATCGTTAATTAATGATTCCTCCAATTTCTTTTCGAACCAACGGGACGAGACGTTCGTTTAATCTGCTGTTAGTTACTATTATATTTTATTTTTATTTTCAATGATACTCATCAATTTAAGGAAAGTAAGAGAAAGATTGTTACTAATATTTATATGTTTCTAATCTTAAAATTATAACAGATTTGTATGTAATGCAAGTTGCAAGGAGGTTAAATCGATGATCTTCACAGAAATCTTTATTCAAAATGTTGACAGGAATGATCGCACGTTGTTTACTAGAAACGAATATTTATTTAGAAAAATGAATTATTGCAAGCGATAATGGATTATTAATTATATGTTTACACACGATTGAAGAGCCTCGCGTTTTACTGTTCGCGTGCGTTCGTATGCGAGACTGCTTCACGCGTGCAGGTATCCGCGAGCATGGTAATGAAATAAATATCATTTTTATGATTTAAAAAGTAGGTTAATCGATTTTCGACGATTCGTGGTCCGGTTTTGGGTCGAATTCTACAGAGAAAGTGCTTTCTAGGCGTGCGCTCGGGTTTCAGGGGATTCCGTGGTTGCGTGGCCATATTGAATTGCGTAATATTAAGCTTACGCTGGTTTCGGAAACCACTTGACCAGGGAACGTTGAGTAACAATATTCCTTGTTTCCATATTTTATTCGAGTAATTAAATAGTTTCGAATTTGCTCACAAGATTAAAGCACAATCACAGAAAGATTCTGTTCTGGATAAAAATATAGGTTAACGAGTGAAGATCTGTTATCTTCCTTATTATTATTCAGTATTACAAATTCAGGTTTTTGAAGTCCCACATTCGATGACCACATTTTAGTTCCAATGTCAACGTTCTCCTTTTTATTCCTTGCTTGAATTATATATAGAACAGTTGTTTCGATGTGTAAAGGTTCCCTCTCTTCTCGTTTCTTTCACCGTTGCCGCATTAACAACGCCATCGTCGACGTTTTTTCCAATGATACGATACAGTATCCACAAACAGAAACGATAATACTATCACGGTGGTCTCACCGTCGCTGCATGATTCATAAATGTTCGAGGTACGTTAGGAATTACGGGATCTACGTGCGAAGTCCTCTGGCGTTTGTACTTTTTCAACGCCATTAACACTCCCCTGTTAAATTAAAACGTGCGTCCCCAGCGCGACGTGTTCCTCCTTCGTTACTCTCGGGCGACCATTGTTTCGTACCTTTTGCTCTTCCCTTATTTTCTGCGCATTCGCGGCTCATTAGCATACACCGTGGAACAATGATTTAGCTGGACGGCGGGCTGACCTTTCGATAAATTGATCGCACTACCTGTTTCTCACGCGTGCACATCGCGCGCAGGTGATCCGCCGTATTCATTCAATTCACCGCTTTTAAGTGACTCGACATTAAAGTCATTACCGGACCGCGGATCTCCGCGAACTGATTTATAGAAGATGCAATCGGAAAATTGCTTAGTCACATTACAAGGAAGATACAAATGCTACCAGTGGTATATACAAATACATAAAATCCTCGACTCAGTTGTCAGAAATTAACACACAATGGCTAAGCTCGCTGTTTCGAGTCGGGAATTGAGAAGGTTCCGAAAATAACTGTTTGGGATTGTTGTATATCGACTGGAACAGTTGCCGAGAATCGAAATCGATATGACAATTGTTTCCAACCCCTGTTTCGAACTCGAACTAATCGATTGCATTCGTATTCAATGAATAACGCAGCTTTCTATTCATAATTATTGCATGAAAATATGCAAATGTTTGATGCGATCGTTAAATATTTAAGTATTCCGTTTAGTGATTGGTATTCTATTTTTCATTGGAATGTTATTCGAGGAATACGCGTCGCAAGACAATAGCGTTGTCCATGTGTCCTCATACGAGCTCAAACGATCAGAATTAACCCGTTTGATCGATATCAGGAATGCAATTATGCGACCGTGAAGTCGTTCTGAGAAACTACTTGAAAATTAGTCTCTTTTTTTCACGTGTTAGAGCGTGAACAATGCCAGCGATCATGGAAACGGCGGGAAGCTTTTAGCACCGTTCGATACGGGCAACACGTTCGCTCGAATTCAACGTTGCTCGGATGGTTCGTCTTCGGTTAAATGTTTCCGGGAATGTAGGTGAGCTACTGTTTCGTCGGAGAAACCGAGCACGATGAATCGTCGCTGATGATCTACCCGCGCATTGCTTACATTCTTCACGATTCTTGCCTGGAATCGTGACCATCCGCCATAAACACGCTGTCCACGCGGTTACCATATAGCGATAGGCGTTGTAAATAGTTAGCGTGAAGTTAAAGAAACTTGATCAGGATTTTGTTTTGTTTTGTTTACAATACATTTTCTTCTTTATTTTAGCGGGCGTGTTAGTTGAAGTATTCAAGCTGCTCAATAATCGTTCACTTACTAATCTTCATTTCACTGACTTTTACTAATTCATTTATAATCGATCTTTTACTGTAAGAATTCTGTTCCGTTACGAGCAAACTTTTAAATCAATTTCCACTGTTAGACGGACAACTTCAGCCAACGCCGATGACCTCAATCTCCTCGGGAGGCATTAAAGT